GGCGCTAATTCAAGGATTTACCGTATTTGTACAACTGTTGGTTTTGATTTGCACTCCAAATTGTTATGTACAAATTATAGCAGAAAATTTACATTTGAGATTAATAGCCCATCAAGCTGTCACATCTTTGAAGGAATCATTGTTTATTTGTTGTAAACATACAACACAGGAAATATTTGTCCTCAGAGTACATGATTATTGTATTAAAATCATCTACAAATAAACTGCTATTTTATAGTGATGTGATACATATTTGTCGTTCTATCAGCGAATTCACAAAAGAGGAATTAAAGTTCTACTAAAATATCAAACCCAATATTGGTAATATAAGCCTAAGCAAATAAAGTGACATGTATCAACTTGTTTTCATACCATTGTGTATCATTTTATAACTTTTATTTCCCATTCACTGGTTTTCGTTATCAATGTAGCAAAAAAGTTTATCATATTGATAAAGCCTACTATTTGGTACGTCTCCCGGATCAAACAATAATAAACATCTGTAGACCCACCCCGCTAAAATCACGGTCTAAAGATCACAATCATAAATTGAACTTGAGTGAATCACAAACTTTGATGAATTTTTCTAATTCACTGACCTGAAAGCGCCTACAGCTCTCAACATCATGAGCATTTGGTTAGTCTAGAAAACAATCCTGGTATTTTGAACACATCAGCATATTGCATCAGCTGAGGGAAGGCTGGAAATTCCAAGATATTAACCTTCCGACCACAGCCGCCATGTTTAAAAGTTAAAGCGAATCCAAGTGCATGATGGGAGCTTCGCAATTTGTCACCAGTCTTCGCCGGAAAGAAATCTCAACGCAATAATATTATCGAAATTGTGAAAATTATGCTGGCTTTAGAACATTTTTGCTCGCTTCATGCGTAAATTTGAACGTGGGAAATTCTTCTGAGATGTCTGTAGATACAAGAACTCCTCTCCTAACAGATCGAGAGAACATGTACTCCGTTGGTGACCAAGATCATGAAAGGCTGCGAAAAGACAGCACGGACTCGCAACTTACAGCTCTTGCCGATCAACTTGGCTTGCAACCAGACGCTTTCAGCGGAACTAGCTCGGAAAGAGAAAATAACAATCCCTCAAAAAGGGGAAGAAACGGGCCTGTAAACGATTCTGTGGTCACCATAAGTCACGAACAACTTGACGAGCTTCTAACAGCTCTAGAGACAACAAGTGATTTGATCAAACAAGTCGGAATGAACTCTGTGGAGTTAGAAAATTTAACCAGGCGACGACGGTGAGTTTGAGATGTTACAATTTTAATGTTTTCATTTCTTTGACTGTTCAGCATTAAATTTGTTGGATCAACAAATTGTAAGCAACGAATTCAGCTGTACACGAAGGGGTAGAGGGGTGCAGGAGGGTGGGGTGTGTACTGCGGAAAGGGGATCGGATGGAGGCCGGGGGATGGAGCTTGGTTATAGACAGTTATTGTAAAAAATCTTATTGCTATACCCCCCAACTCAAATCCTTTTTCTGACTGGAGGAGAATTTGTCACATGTCATAGGTCAAAACTCACCAACTCCCAAGGCAAACAAAACCTACTAACTCCTTCAAGAAACAACAACTTCAACATTGGGTGATTCCAGAAAAATCCATACCATACCATGGGCGGCATCTTGGAATTCTGAGGGAGAGGTGCGGGTTTCTTGGACTGGAATTCTGAAGACATTGTGAAATTTACTTTGTGAAATGCACTGTAGCAGTGTTTTATTTATCTCCTCTGGTAACAGCAAGCTGATACAAATCAGTGATAACAGATTTTATTTACAGGAATCACAGAATACCAAAATGTGTTACGAACAATCTTTTGCTGCTAACAGTTTTCTGGCAGGTATGAAGTTTGCTGTACACGTTTACTTGTTGTTTTGTATATAATTATTTGATGTCCCTTACAGGCCTATTAAAATGAAGCACAGGCTGCTAATAAAAACATGTTCATTGTTACCATCTCTATACCATGTGATAAGTTAAATAAAGATATATAATTGAAAGAAATTATGAGCATTACTCTGGCAAGATCGGCTTCCTCAAGAAATGCATTTAACATTACACACGTGATTTAATCTGCAGATTCTAAACATCGCTGCTGTGAGTATTGCTGAGGCTTTTGCAAACCAGTCCAAGGGTGAAGACAAAACAGAGGAAAAAACCATATATTTAGTGGTAATAGTTTATATCTTTGGCTTTTGAAAACACTCTCAGTAGCATTAATAACAGGTTGCAAGATTGCTTCTCAATCTGTTAGGTACTGTACATGATTGTGTGGTATATTATCAACTTGACCTCTGCTTTCGGAACATCAGCCGAGTTAACACAACCTCTGACAATTGGAACATCATAATAATAATAAATATTTTCAATTTAGTAGTTGTAATCTGTAATCTTCCTCCAAAATTTTAATTGAAGTGACACTTCAAAGCTAAATATATTGGAACAAAAATTATTAGTAATTTAATACTGTTTTTTCTGTCAGCTACTGTACATGTTCTGGAATTGGCAGGACATATCCTGAAAAGCTTCCTACACAGCAATTTAATTAAGAATTGGTTCATGCTTAGTGTGTGTATATGGAGTCATGGATGCACACGGGAAGTTTGGAGAGCATGAAAGAAGAGTAAGAGTTGCTCGAAGTGACAGCCAAGAGCAACTCTAGCTTCTTGAGTGCTCTCCAAACTTCCCAAGTGCATCCAAACTCGATATATGCACAGCTAATAGCATGAACCAATTCTTTTATAACATGGTGACAACAACTTGGAGCTAAAGCATGTTTTTTTTGTGATTGTCTACAAAGTTCTCATAATGCACGGTGAAAAGAAACAAAGGTCATTAGGATCCTAACACACCACAATCAGTTGAGCAATGGTTGACCGAAAATGCTTAACCTGGTTTCTAAAACTGTCAATGAAAAATTCTCTTCTTCGAATTAATTATAATGAAAATGTAGTCAGACAAAGTCAAAAATACTCAATGAAAATGTAGACAAACAAAGTCAAAATACTCATGTTTTAGTAAACATCTTAGCTTGGCAAAAGTCAAAGGCT